TGAGAGGGAGGGAGATAGAGGTATAGATAGAGAGAGGGAGGGAGATAGAGGGATAGGGAGGGAGAGGGGGTATAGACACAGAGAGGGTAGGAGATAGATGTATAGATAGATAGGCAGACAGACAGACAGATATAGATAAATAGATAGAGATTGATTGATCTTTGTGGGCTCTGGGGCCCAGGACAGCCCAATACCTTTCTTTTCTTTTTTGGGGGGGGGGGGCTTCTAGGAGTGGAAATGTGTCCTGCCTTTAAGAACGGTGGTCCCTCCTTTTCCAGAGTCCTTTGTGGGCCGAAGGGGGTTGGACTAGATGTCCCTGGGGGGTCCCTGTGACTGCATGGCTCTGAAGGGAGGACCCCATGAAAGAGGAAGGAAGGAAGGAAGGCGATGCCACTCAGACCCAAAGAAGAGCCCTTGGAGAGAGAGAGAGAGCGGTCCTCTTGGCCGGCCGGGCCAGGAAGCCACCTGGCTAATTACAGGCCCTTGGTGATTACAGCTCCCATTTTGGGGCCTGAAGGAGGCTAAACCGGGAGCCTCCCAGCCCTTTGGCCTCCCTCCTTCCCTCCCGCCTGCCCATCCCGTCCCACTGTCAAAGGAAGGCAGGTTTGCCCTACTTTTGCTGCCATGGCTCCATAGGATGGGACCCTGGGAGTTGCAGTTTCTCTGGCCAAGCTGGCAGGGGCCTCACCCAACTACAACTCCCAGTATCCATAGCATGAGGAGGCCCTCCAGGCTTGCTGGGAACACTGGAGTCCCAAACACTGTGATGCAGCGTCTCAAAAGGCCCATGCGGTTCTAATGCTGCTCCAATGGGAGGGGAATGTACCAGGCATAGGCAAACTTTGGACTCCAACTCCCAGAATTCCTAACAGCTGGTTGTGAAAGGATGTTACCTCGAGGATGGAGGAGGCTTCTCTGATGATCCCAGGACACAAGGGAGCCTTGGGTTCAAAGACCTCCAGGGAAACACATGCCACCTCAATATGAGGAAGACCTTCTGGGTAGATTGAACTGTTTGAGAGTGGATTCTGCTCCTTCCTGGGAATCCATTGGGCCCTCTATCCATCTCTGGAGGTCTTGAAGCAGGCTGGAGGGACATCTGTCAGGAGGGATCAGGTGGTGTCTTCCTTTCTGCCTGACAGAATAGGGGTGGACTGGATGGCCTTTGGGTGCCCTGACAAGGCTAATGGGAACTTGGTGGCACCTCCAATGATTTCTTCCTTCCCTGGAGGTCTTCGAAAGGAGGCTGGATGTAGCCCTCTGTCTGGAGGGCTTTGGTTGTGCCTTCCTCAAAGGAGTTGGCCTTTGGGGGTCTCTTCCAACACCAGGAGGCTAGTTCCCTATGAATGTGCAGCATCTGACAGAAACATAGGTGGCAGAAGGGGTTGGACTGGATGGCCTTTGAGGCCTCCTTCCAAGGCCAAGAGTCGAGGTCCCTATGAATCTACAGCACAGAAGGGGTTGGACTGGATGGCCTTTGGGGGACCCTTCTAACTCTAGTGGGAACCTCCAGCGATTCCTTCCTTCTGAGAGGTCTTTGAAAGGTGGCTGGATATGGCTCTCTGTCTGGAGGGCTTTGGTTGTGCCTCCCTGAAATAGGTTGGCCTTCAGGGGTCTCTTCCAACCCAAGAAATCTAGGTCCTTATGAATCTGCAGCATAGAAGGGGTTGGACTGGATGGCTTTTGGGGGCCCCTTCCAACGCCAAGAGTCGAGGTCCCTATGAATCTACAGCACAGAAGGGGTTGGACTGGATGGCCTTTGAGGGCCCCTTCCAACTCTAGTGGGAACCTGGTGGAGCCTCCAATGATTCCTTCCTTCTGGGAGGTCTTCAAAAAGTGGCTGGATATGGCCCTCTGTCTGGAGGGCTTTGGTTGGCCTTTGGGGGTCTCTTCCAACACCATAGGCTAGGTCCCTATGAATCTGCAGCATAGAAGGGGTTGGACTGGATGGCCTTTGGGGGTCCTTCCAACCCTGGTGACATATAGACTGTTTGGGAGCCTGATGGAGCTTCCTCTGTGGGTTTTTAAGGAGCAGCCAGATGAACATCTATTGAGAGGGATTGGACTGTGTCTTCCTTAAAAAGGAGTTTGACAGGATGGCCTTTGGGGGATCCCAAAGATGCCTCCAGTTAAGTGGAGTCTCCTTTTCTGGGGGTTTCTAAGCAGAGTCTGGACGGCCCTCTGTTGGGAAGGCTTTGACTGTATTGTCCCGAAAGAGGTTGGACTGGATGGCCTTTGGGGGTCCCTTCCAACCCTGGTGATATATAGATGCTGTGGGGGCCTGGTGGAACTACCTATATGGGTTTTTAAGCAGCAGCCGGATGGACCTCTAATAGGAGGGATTGGACTGTGTCTTCCTTAAAAGGGGGTTGGACTGGATGGTCTTTTGGGGTCCCTTCCAACCCTGGTGACATATAGACTGTATGGAAGCCTGTTGGAGCCTCCCCTGTGGGTTTCTAAGCAGGAACTGGATGGACATCTATTGGGAGGGATTGGACTGTGTATTTCTTAAAATGAGGTTTGACTGGATGGCCTTTGGGGGATCCAAAAGATGCCTCCAGTTAAGCAGAGTCTCTTTTTCTAGGGGTTTCAAAGCAGAGTCTGGACGGCCCTCTGTAGGGAAGGCTTTAACTGTATTGTCCCGAAAGAGGTTGGACTGGATGGCCTTTGGGGGTCTCTTCCAACTCTGGTGAAATATAGACTGTGTGGGAGCCTGGTGGAGCCTCCCCTTGGGAAGTCGGACTTGGCCACGGTGGTCCACGCTCTCGTCACATCCCGGATTGACTACTGCAACGCGCTCTACGTGGGGTTGCCCTTGAAGACAGCCCGGAAGCTTCAGATGGTCCAGCGCTCGGCAGCCAGGTTGCTAACAGGGGCGGCACTCAGGGAGCACACCACTCCCCTGTTGAGCCAGCTCCACTGGCTGCCAATCCGCTACCGAGCTCAATTCAAGGTGCTGGCTTTAGCCTATAAAGCCCTAAACGGTTCTGGCCCCGCTTACCTCTCCGAACGCATTTCCACCTACGAACCGACTAGAACATTAAGATCGTCTGGGGAGGCCCTGCTCTCGATCCCGCCTGCGTCACAGGTGCGCTTGGCGGGGACGAGAGACAGGGCCTTCTCAGCGGTGGCCCCTCGGCTATGGAATGCTTTGCCAGCAGACATCAGACAGGCACCTTCGTTGCTGGCATTTCGGAGAATGGTTAAGACCTGGCTCTATGAGCAAGCGTTTGGCTAAGTAATGCAACTAACTAAGGAAGACGGTAACTGAATATAGGAACGGCATAATGACTATGAGAATGGATCTGACTTTAACGGAGGCGTTGTATATGTTGTTTGTGGGTTGTCTGTCTGATGTTAATTGTTGGTGGAGCGACTTGTCGTTCCGGTTTTTGTATTACTGTGTTTTAACTGCACTGTGAACCGCATTGAGTCGCCTGTTAAAGGCTGAAATATGCGGTATAGAAGTGAAGCAAATAAATAAATAAATAAAAATAAATTTTCCTGGGGGTTTCAAAGCAGAGTCTGGACAGGAAGGCTTTGACTGTATAAAGAGGCTGGACTGGATGGCCTTTGTGGGTCCCTTTCAAAGCCAGGAATCTGCAGCCTAGAAGGGATTGAGCTGGATGGCCTTTGGGGGTCCCTTCCAACCCTGGTGATATATAGATGCTGTGGGGGCCTGGTGGAACTACCTATGTGGGTTTTTAAGCAGCAGCTGGATGGACCTCTAATAGGA